AAAAAAAAAAAAAAAAAAACCTTAAAACCCTGAATCCTAAACCACTGGGTATGTTGTGGTCGGAAACGGGCGAGCAGCTGTTTTTGAGGTGTACTTGTGAAGCCTAGCCTGCCTTATGCGAGTTGTGAGATTTAACAGCCCTAGACCATACTTAAATCCTGAGCCTTTTGAAAACGGGCTTCGAAATCTAGGGGTCTTGTACGGTCTTGTCTCAAAGGGCTTTTGGGGTCCATTTGGGGTGCATACAATCAGGAACCTACTACACAGGCTTCTATCATAGTGCCATCCCTGACCCTAGTTTAGAGCACTACCCAGTTTCGTGCAATGAGACCTGTGTCTTCACGAGAGCCCTCATGCAGAGCAAACTGTGCGACACGTGTCTCAAGCCCGGCGGGCTATGCTTTGAGATTAGTGAGCGAGAATTGAAGGAGTCATTTTAGTGTGGATGTTGCGCGGTCGTGTTGAGCTTTTTCTTAGGTCATTACGAACCCTGCTCCTGCTGCTGCTGCTGCTGCTGCCACTGCTACTGCTACCGCTACCTGCTGCAACTGCTACCACCACTACCACCACCACAACAGCAGGCCTATCATGATGTACATTGCTGTCATCAGCACCAGCATCTGCAAGATACTTACGCTAAACCCTAAACCCTAAACCCCATCGTTAGGGCTCGCTGGTCTTTGCGCGCGTGCGAGATCATGTCGCGATCGAACTCTTTGTCTCTGCCTCCTGGCCTGCCCGTGCGACTGGCCGTTCCTCAGAGTCAGACTCCTCAGGTCGGAGATGGGGGTTTCCGAAAATAGGGGACCCTAGTAGAGCGCCCTAAATCGTAGGATCCTTATTATAAGGACCCCCCAAACATAAGGCACCCCGTATTTTCGGAAACTCGCAGATTTGCTTTGGGATCAGGTGATCAGGTTCGAGGATCCAGTGCTTAGGTGACCGGGGATGTACGCACGGCCCGAAAATGAAACCTCTGGGACCAGAAACTAAGACCCTCACATCCCTAAGCCTTAAACCCTAAACCCTGAAGTCTAAACCCTAAACCAGTGGCAGAAAGATGGAAAACAACCCTTAACCTTGAGTGCCTAAACCCTAAACCCCGAAGCCTCATCCCTGGCAAGCCTGAACCTTGACCCAGAAGCGCGCCCTTGCCCAAAACCCCGAAGTGTTTTGTTACCAGAAGTCACGGGGTTCGCTGTAGGGTTTAGGGTTCCGGGTTTGGGGCTTGGGCATGACAAACAGGTTCGGGGGCTTTGGAACCTGAAGTTTCCGGGCTTTGGGGACCTGAAGTTGAATCTTCGGGCTTCGTTTCAATGCAAGACGCAGTGAGGTGTTCTAGTGGGTTATCTTCTGGAAGCTCTGACAGCCAAAAAATCTCTGCCCCAGCATGGGCTCCTACTTGCAAGGGTGTCTCAGAGCTCAGGGGCTTCAGGTTGAGATTCAAAGGGGAGGCTCACGCCCAACAGAGGCTTGCAATCACGGACACTTGTGATCAAGCTCGAACGCCGGAATCAGGTAGTTCTCCCCAAGCGGAAGCCGGACAGCTTTGGAGTTCCGTCAAGGTTGTTTGGAGTTTCGGGTGTGAGGGAACATTCAGGGCTTCGGCGGGAGGTGACATACTGCTGAGGTTGAGAGGAGCTGCTGTTGCAACATGTTGCAACTGCTTGTAGCACAGCTGGAGCTAGAGAAGAAGTCGCAATCATAGGTTGCACCTGGAATTGGGCGATGTCTGCTGTGCAGCATTCTTGCATATCTCCGCTTCTTACCCTTCGTTGTGTTGTAATGAAGCTATGGCTGTGAGCTTTTTGTTGAAGGGTAGTCTGGGGCGAGGGAGTTCGCCTGGCCCAGCATCTCAAAGCCCCTGAAACCAGTGATTTTCCGCCAGATTTCGGCAGCCCTAAACTCTAAACCCAATCCCTAGACCCCGTTCCCGAGCCCTAAACCCAGACCACAAAACGGCACGCCCTTAATATTACGTGAACCGGAAGGCGGACAGGGCCGAAAGGTGGGTCTCGCCTACGAACTCGGCGTCCACAGAGAACTTCAGACGAGCCTTGGGTGCTGGCTTGGACGACGACGATGCCACTACCACTGCTGCTACAACAACAACAACAACTACTACTACTACTACTACTACTACTACTACTAGTGCGACGACGACGACGTCCCAGGACCTCTGATGTACCGGCCGAAGGTCTGCCACTGCACTGCTCACAAACAATGTCTAATAAGACTCGAACCGATATCATGTCGCTGTCGGGCATAAGGCTAGAAAGCCTCTCTCTCTATGTCTCATATCTCTTTATGTGTGTATGTACATGTAACACTATATGTATGTGTGTATATATATATATATATGTGTGTGTGTGTGTCCATGTGGTATGTAGGTTTATGTACATGCGCTTACTGTACATGCATGTTCTTATGTCAGGCGAACCCACGCTCACACACGCACGCATACACATGTGTACATATAGATGTGTAGACATTCATATATATATATATACATATATATATATATACATATATGTATGTATGTTTGTATGTGTGTGTATGCATGCATACATGCATGCATGAGTGTAACTATCTATGTATGAATGAATGAATGAATGTATGTATGTATGCATGTATGTATGTATGTATGTATGTATGTATGTATGTGTGTATGAATGTGTGTTTATGTATCGTACATAAGGAACCCATATAACCTGTATATGTAAGTATACACGTGTATGCGTGTATCTCCATGATATATATATATATATATATATATAAATATACGTATGTGTTTACACATATGTTTCTATGATATGTGTGTATGCGTGTATATACGCATATAGATATCTTTAGGTGTGTACATGTATGTATGTATATATATATATGTATATATATATATATATTTATTTATTTATTTATTTATTTATTTATACATATACATATACTGTTTAATTAACATATTAAAAGCATGCAGCGTTTACAGTTTACATACATTCGACAGTTGTGAAGGAGCTTGAAGCCATGCTGGGCGTGCGTACAACTTGTTCTGTTAAGGATAGCGGGTAGTGATTGGCGTGCAGGAATCCTGCAGAGCGATCCCTGCAACCCAGTGGGACGCTGAAAGCACCCTGAGAAGGTACTCCTGAGCGCTCGCAGCAAGCCGTCCCCATGCTCACCAAGAAGTGACGCTGCAAGGCCAGCATTATCAAACCTCCGAGCTTACGCTTTCAGGACGAGCTCGAGCTGTAACATAAAGACGAGAAAAGGGCTGTGGGACTAGTTTATAATAATGCTGGTACCATAAGGACAGATTAGTTACCCCTATATCACGGGCATTACTGCCGCACGTCTTGAATAGAGGGAGGCTTGGCATTGGGTGTTGGTTGACAGTATCGTCCAAAGCTCAGCATAACATCGAGGCAGCACGTTTCAGTGCGAGGCTTCGCTGGCGGTTCAGTTTAGTGTTAGAGAGGACACAAATGATTTTGATGAACCGAAATAATCAACAGTACTATTCCTAAAGCTCACTCTCATTACTCTCAAAAACCTCCAAACCTCATTCTAAATATTCCAGCTGCTATAGTTGTAGTAGGCTTCAGTTTCAGGGCACAAGGATCCGGGGGGGAAGGGGCCTGAGCCTGCGACGGACGTCGGGTCGAACATTATGAAGGATTTCCTAAGGCGTAATAAGGGTTTAGAGTTTAGAGATTATTGAGGGTTCCAGTATCCAACTAGTCTAGGGAGCTTGAATATTTTGAATAATTAGAAGAGGCTAGGGTTTTGGGGTGTATACTAAACAGTCGTACAACATGGAAGTTTCAGCAATGACTTATGCAGGCCCCAACATTAACTAGTGGGGGTTTGTCTTGGGTCCCATATACTATAGTTACTATGCTATACTATACTATACTTTAACCTTAGCATACTATACTATACTATACCCTGATGGTAAGTACAACTCTACTATGTAACTTTGGGCCCTGAGGGTTTGGTTGTTGTCAAGATGTTCGGCAGGTGGCGTCATGTGCGCGAAGGTCTCCAGCACCAAACTCCTCAAGAGGTCCTTCATGAGGCCAAATCTGCTCTGTCATAGATTTGATTGAGGCTCAGGGTTCTGGCAAGGTGACACAAGCTAGCATTCACTCGTGCTTCGGAGGTGACTGATACCATTCGCGTGAAGATGCTATGCTGCTGATAGTGCCGCTGCTACAGTTGCTGTCGTGCTTGCCTTGTCTGCAGCTTCCTTCGATGGTGCTCAACCACGACGACGACGCCAACAGCGACAGAGATATTCCCGCCAGCACTGCTGCCAGCTTACCCGGCGGCTACCCCATGCCCTCGACAAAGCACAGCTTTGCGGCCGAGGTTCGTTATCAGTCTGGCCAGCGGTGTGCAAAAGAAGCCCAGGACCTCAGCAATCAGAGGCCGGACCTGGAAAATCCACGCGTTTGGGCCCCCAACCCTGAGCCCTGGTAGAACGGATGTCGCCAGTGCGCTTTGCTGTGTATACAAGACCCAAACCTAAACTAAAACCTGCGTGCGCCCGGGCCTGCCTTAACCGTAATGTAGGAACCTTAATAATTAGAAAAAGATTTTGGGGTATATTATAGCTTAATTATAATCAGGAACCCCAACATAGTACAGGTAATAATTACGGCCCCTAAATTATTATTTTAGGGTCAGGGTGGATA